GATAATATCTCGCCTGTCGAGCCCACTCCGCATCCAGGCATTTTGACCTTCATTGCTCACTCGAGTGTGTTGGACGGCCTTGGTCAGGCCTCTGTGATCGTGGACCTGCAGCCGGCAGGGGGGACTATTTTTGCGATCACGCTCCCAGAGAGGCTTAGCTTCTCAGACTGGGCACGCTTTATGTGTCCGATGCTACCTGCGGGCACCTCTCAGGTCGACTTGTTCGTTGGAACCAATCGCTCCCCACATCCAGTCGACGAAGCACTATTCCTCACCCATGGCACTCTTCTGACCGTATGTGAAGAGCATCATTTCCACAGACAAGGGCCCTCTCAGGCAAGACTCTTGAATGACCCAAGCCGATGGAAGAGCTCTTCTGATGTTGAGCCTTCTGTGGGGAGGAAAGGATTTTGCCTGCTTTACAAGGCGAAAAGATGGTTCATTGAGGGAGACCAGCTTGATGCTGACTGCATGCACGCGCTTGCCGCTGACGCTACTGGACGTCTGCTGCATGAGACCAGACTCGACCTTGCATTGAATCCACCCATCACCGACCTCTGTCTGCATGGGCGTAATTGCTGGGGCCTTGCAACTCTTGTTGATCTGCCCCCAACAATGCCTGGAGCCGAAAAGCCAGCCGATTCGGGTTTCTCGGTTTTCCTAGATTTCCGACCACTTGGAGTGAGACCCTTTAGTTGGCACCAATACTCCAATATGCTCCACCTTCCTACGGTTCTTCAGTCACTCGACAAAGAGCTCCCGCGAGGAGTCGACATTGAAGTTGTGGGGAAGGCCCAAAACGGGTATTACGTAGAGGTCTCAGCAGGCGAAGTCCTGTCATTCCAGGCTACGCCTGACAGCGACTACAGCCCTCATGTGCACAGTATGAACTCAGGTCCGGCAGGAAGTGATGATAGCCAATCCGACACTTCCATTTGCTCGCATACTCCACCACAGACACCCCCGTCAGACCCTGGAAGATCTCCTCGCAGTCGCTCACCCAGGGGAAGTGAGCACCCAGCCCACGGAGATACCGGAGAGACGCCGATTCCCGATTTGGCCCAGGAGGCCGATGGTGGTCTTTTTGAGGCCAGGACTCAGAAGGCGGCTTGGACAGCGGCCGCTGTCAATGACATGGCCGCAGGTCTGCATACCGTACCGCAAGCCCCGTCCTATCGGGACGTGAGGATAAGCAAAGTTGGCTGTATGTCTGTTTCGGAGGTTATCCTCACGCCCTGCACCTTTCAGGTACATATACCCGGCTACAAAGACATCATTGTGCGACACCAGGTCAGGCTCCCATGTAGCGAGGACAAGGTTCTGCAAGACCTTGCCGACTCACTGTTGGAGCGAATGCCTCCATTCTTTGACAAGTTGATTGCAACACAGCCACAGATTGGCAGGGACTTTGGCTCTGTAATCCTTGTACCTGCCTGGCATAAACCCGCCGGCCGATGCACTGTCCTTTTTGACTTGCACCATATTGGAGGTTCTATTTCCGCCAAGGTTGTCTCTAGCCCGCTTTCATACTGGCAATGCCGACAGGAAGCTGAGCGCGTTTGCGACAGGCCATGGTGCCTCTACGTTGCCGGGGCCATTCATCCACAGATCGATGCTGGGGATTTCTTTGTAGCCGAGGGTTGGGTTCTTCAGTTCCGAGCCTTTGGGGCGCCACCGGATTGGTTTGAATCCTTGGCACCGCGATTCAGCCGGCCTATCCCATGGATGGAGGACCCTGTAGTTCCCCGCAACACTACGGAGGACCTGCTTTTAGTGCTGCATGGCGATCGACACACACTGCTCGACATCGGATCTCCAGCTTCGCCCTGCCTGGCAACTAGGGTTGCCGATCTTGTTGATAGACCTCGGGATGATGTTCTATTTGTTCGACCTCACGAGGCTCAGCTGAACGATGTCTGTTCAAACGGCCATGCCTGCAGAGGAGTCTTGGCCACCTTCCCAGTCAAGGAGCAGCCGGGTCGGAGGAGTAGGCTTCTCTTTCTCGACGGCAGACCGGCCAACGGACGCCTAGCCTTCGTATATACGGACGAGGTTGATGACCCGCTTGGATTTGCTGAGTGGCTTGGATTACGTTCGCCTCCACTGCATCACATCGTTTTCTCCCGAATTCCCCACACGAATGGGGAATATTCGCTCGAGGGCACTGTCTTTATCTTCGGATACTACCCGAATGCCGATCGAGACGGAGACCAGTCGTCCGACTTGGGCAGCAGCCGGAGTCATCCAACAGACCAAGTTGGAGCAGAATGGGAAGGGCATGATCCTAGCGACATCAGACCGCATGCCCGGCAGCCGACATCCTCACCATCTGAGGCAAGCGAAAACAGGCCAAGAGACGAAGACAGTCAAGGTCGAATGAGGTCCCGCCCTATAACACCGGCCTTTGATTTCTCTTGCGAAGCACACCCTGCCCCATGCCGGAAAGCCACGTCGACCCAGGATGAGGTCCGAACTCTCATCCTGCCTGGGACTCCTCACATAGGAACCCTTTGCAAGGAGCTTTGTTTTCTGGCTGACAAGTACACTTACCTAGCCGGGGATGTTTGGGGCTGGTTTGGGGTTCTATGGAGGACGTCACCTCCTGATGTCTATGATCAGCAGGTTCAGGTCCAGACCCTCCCGCTCCCTGCGGCCGAAAGACAAAATAAGCTGCTATCGGAGCCAAGAGGCAAGACTCCTGCCGCTAATCAACACCTCGGGAATCTCAGGGCTTTGACCTTTGGCCTTGGGGGCAGATGGCTTCGGGACCCAACTCCAAACTGGATTGATGAGGTCCTTGAGCCGGACCCTCTCGATGATACGTACTCGCTTGACGAGGAAGGCGAGTCTTTTACCACGATTGGTTGTATCATCTTGAAGGAGGGATACACTGCAGAGACCGTGAGCATTCTTACCCGGGTCCCGACAATCGTCGACGATACCAGACGTCTCGTCAGCGATGCCAGATCGCTCACTAACCGTCTCTCCTTTCCAGCCCTCCTGGATGTTATCCCCCAACCAGTCCCAGGTAACATAGTCTACCTGGCTGGGCCTGCGTGGTCTGCAGATCAGCATGGCCACTGCTTCAATCTCACTCTGTGGGATGGTAGACTGTTTACCGCACAGGCTCCTGATTATGTTGCCCGGCACGAAATCTTGCTCATCGCCCAACTTCCGCATGACGCCGCAGTTGACGTGTATGTTGGATTGGATGAGGCTCCCCTTGTTGGAGAAATGCCTATCCACTTGTACCCCGGAGCACTCATCTCCTTCCTACCTGCCGCATCAGAACCACCGCCTTGGCCGACACTTGGAGAGACGCTTCTTTCCGGGGGAATGTGGTGTGCCGACTCTTTTCAACCAGGTGTTGAAGACCCCAATGTCTGCTGTGTTGTCCATGGCAACTNNTTACCATCTTCACACCATTGATCCCTGCCAACCTCTGCAGCATCGGGCGCGACTTGCACATGCTGCCGGGGTGCCCGCTGAGGCTCTGAACGTGCATATTGCTCGGCCCCCGCCGAGTGATGTTGACCTCTTCGGCTTTAG